ACTATTGAGCAAGAGATAGTCACTAATGGGCTGGACTTCGCGTGGCGCACCTCGCTACATTTTTGTTGGGAGCGTGGTGTGCTTTTTTTTATGTCGCTAGGGAATTTTAATATCAAATAATATTGTGATATTCAAGATTTGTGTAGTGATACTGCTCTGGATAACTTAGAACAGCAACCACAAGTCTCTTCCTAATCTTCAAAAGTCTCCCTTATTGTCTTGACAACATAAACACTGCAGGCACCTCAGCGGAAACTCAGCCATTTGATTGGAGAATGAAATGGACGCGATTTTTTTTCCACTCAGAGTTGACTTTTTTTTCAACAGAATGCACGACGCGCATGGGCAAAAACGTGAGGAGCACCACGTCTTAGTAACCACCTAGAACACCCTAACAACCACTAAGGACACCCTAGCAACCGCCTAGCAATGCCTTAGCAACCTTTTAGCAACCAGCCAGAACAACCTAGCAACCACCAAGCCACTCATTAGTGACACCTTAGCAACTAAGAACACTATAACAACCGCAATGACATGGCAACCACTCATAAATCCTAGTAACTACCTATCAACACCTTAACAACTACCTGGAACACCATAGCAACCACTCGGAACACCCTAGCAATTGCCTAGCAAGAAACATGCTAATCCGTACTAGAAACATGCTAATATACATGTAGTTATCTCTCTGTTCCAACTGTTGCAAACGTCTTCAAAACTACTTTGGGTATTTAAACGTTTAAACTACTTCAAACTTTCAGATGACGCTTACTCAATACACCAGTTTGTCTACGAACTTTACTTTATTGCAGGGCTTCTTGTCCAGTCTGAGATCCACTTTATACCGTATCTCAATCAGGCAGTGAAGATCATCAATGTTGGACACACCAGATGTTAAATGTGTTGAGTTTATAATGACATGACAGTTCAACAGAAGCGCTGGTTTACTCAAAATGAAATAATAGTAGATAAATTAATAATAAATAATAGATAATTTGGTAATTCATTCCACTGTGGCGGCCTCAGATTAATAAAGAGACTAAGCTGAAAGAATCAAGTGACTGTCGCGTAAAACCAATGGCAGACGGCTGCTTCTCACTGAGGACTGACTACACTATTGAGCAAGAGATAGTCACTAATGGGCTGGACTTCCCACTTCTTCGCGTGGCGCACCTTGCTGCATTTTTGTTGACAAGAACAAAAGGAGCGCGGTGCGCTTTTTTTTTATGTCGCTAGGGAATTTTAATATCAAATAATGTGATATTCAAGATTTGTGTAGTCATACAGCTCTGGATAACTTAGAACAGCAACCACAAGTCTCTTCTCCATCTTCAAAAGTCTCCCTTGTTTTCTTGACAACATAAACACTGCAGGCACCTCAGCGGAAACGCAGCCATTTGATTGGAGAATTAAATGGACGCGATTTTTTTTTTTTTTTTTTTTTCACTCAGAGTTGACTTTTTATTTCAACAGAATGCACGACGCGCATGGGCAAAAACGTGAGGCGCAGCAACGTCTTAGTAACCACCTAGAACACCCTAGCAACCACTAAGGACACCCTAGCAACCGCCTAGCAATGCCTAAGTAACCACATAGCAACCTTTTAGCAACCAGCCAGAACAACCTAGCAACTACTCAGAACATCCTAGCAACCACCAAGCCACTCATTAGTGACACCTTAGCAACAACTCAGAACACTATAACAACCGCAATGACACAGCAATGACATGGCAACCACTCATAAATCCTAGTAACTACCTATCAACACCTTAACAACTACCTGGAACACCATAGCAACCACTCGGAACACCCTAGCAATTGCCTAGCAAGAAACATGCTAATCCGTACTAGAAACATGCTAATATACATGTAGTTATCTCTCTGTTCCAACTGTTGCAAACGTCTTCAAAACTACTTTGGGTATTTAAACGTTTAAACTACTTCAAACTTTCAGATGACGCTTTCTCAAGACACCAGTTTGTCTACGAACTTTACTTTAATGCAGGGCTTCTTGTCCAGTCTGAGATCCACTTTATACCGTATCTCAATCAGGCAGTGAAGATCATCAATGTTGAACACACCAGATGTTAAATGTGTTGAGTTTATAATGACATGACAGTTCAACAGAAGCGCTAGTTTACTCAAAATGAAAACTCCTCATGCGTATTTCACATAACATCCACATGGGGAGCTGTGAGCAAAAAAGAAGTTACGCAGTCTTGCTTTCAAAAATGTTTTAACCTAGCAATTGTCAGCATTCATACATGGTTTATTGTCATGTTTCATGCAAACCATCAGAAACGCACGTTCCTCCACATCATCACGCAGTCATGTCTGACCATCAGTCGGCTAGAGGACGGAACATATGGGCCCACGGTGGAGTACTGTGATGATAGCCCCCTTCAGGCCTGGACCCTCCGAAACTTCACCCGACAGGAGGTCTTTAAGAAGCTCTACTACAGCCCAACTGATTACTTTCTGTAATTAGCACAGCTGTCAGGTCAGTGCTGAAACGGCTAGCAAACCATCCCGTAGAGTAGAGATGATGAAATTGGAGGTAGACAACAAATAGTTATTAGAGCTGTTGTGGTGCATGTCGTGCTTTGAAACCCCTTCATTTAACTGTTGTGAGATCTATTAGATCAGTCGTTCTCAAACTTTTTAGCTCGCGACCCCCAAAATAAAAATGCCAGTGGCTCGCGACCCCCAATATCCTCTGAGGTGGTTATAAATACAAAAACTTTGCATGCAATGGTGCACACACACCAATAGACCAAAGTCTATTCTTCGTAGATTTTTTTTAATGTATGTTAGTGCTGTAAATGGCCCAGAAAGCATAGCTTTAGATGCAGCTATGCTGTGTCTTACAATATAATGTAATTACCCCAGCGATCGCAATTGAATAGAACTAGTAACTATTAGGTACTATAGTAACTTTATAAAGTAGTATATAGTAACTACTGTATAAATTACTATTTTTTCTAGGTTATGGATAAAATATGGTAATTCTTATGGTTTCATAAAAATAAATAGATTTTTGGAAATCACCAGGCGACCCCCTTTCATTGTCCCACGACCCCTCGGGGGGTCCCGACCCCCACTTTGAGAACCACTGTATTAGATGTCTTTGTGATTCACGTCATTGCTTATAGTGGTACACCGTTGCAAGATTTCCAACACAGGCTCATTCTGAAAACGTAGTCCTGCGGATGTTTCTGGAGACCAATAATTATGTAGCCGGAGGTACGTATGGCTGCATATCATTTTTTTAAGCGAACACTACGAGGTGGTATGACGCCTTTTCTTTGCCTTTCCCACTGCAACCAGTTTGTCCGGTTAGCTCATCATGTACATTGGCGGACTTGAGACGCAGAGAGGGTTCCAGAAATCAGATAAAACAAAAACAAAATCTAAAACATAAAATGAAGGAGTGAACAACAGGGTGAAAATGTGGTAAAATTCGAAAATGTGGTAAAAATCCAACGAGGGCTTTTTTTTTTTTTTGGACTGCTTTTGTAAACCGTTGTTTGGGTTTAGGGCAGGGGTCATCAAACTTGTGCCTGGAGGGCTGGTGTCCTACAGATTTTAGCTTCAACCCAAATCAAACCCACCTGAACCAGCTAATCAAGGTTTTACTAGGTATACTTGAAACACCAAGGCAGGTGTGTTGAGGCAAGTTGGAGCTAAACACTGCAGAGTCACCGGCCCTCCAGGACCAGGATTTGTGACCCCTGGTTTAGGGGAATAAGTGGGTGGGCGGGTCAATCGGTAAAATTGGTTGGGTTTAGGGAAGGAGGAGGGTGGGTCAGTCAATTAGCCCGTCGCCCAGTCAATCATTCAGTTGGTCGACATCGGCCTCTGGTGGGTTTGCGCGAGAACAGCGTGGGCGCGAACGGCACTGGCAAGAGATATTTGACATATGAAAAAGCACGTGGATCGTGGATTCACGAAAAACAAAAACTGAGAAAATACGTACCTTCCAGGACGTATTTTGCAGTCTCCAGAAATGTCCACGGGACTACGTTTTCAGAATGAGCCCGAGTTGAAAATTTCAGGTTTGTCCTCTCTCCTTGCTATTGACAATATTTCTGGCAACTGTTTGAAGTTTTAGATGTTTTTTTAAAGACTCTTTTATGTAGATTTTTTTTATTGTCAACAATTTGCTAAAAGTTGATTTGGTTTTCAACCATATTCCAGTTGTACAAGTGACATTTCAGTGGTATTTTTTTCTGCCTGGCCAGTGGATTGACCAAATGCCCAGACTAAGAAATTTGAGCCTGAATTTCCAATGTTTGTGCAGAATAATTGAATTCTTGCCATAATGTGGACACATAAAGTATGCTATGTCCATGGTTGGGCATTTACGAAGTACATGTTTCGGCATTACGTATTTAAAATATAATGTATATATAACAGTATTTTGTTTAACAGCATTTTAATATTGATTAAAATACAGTTATATCTGAAAATAAATTTAGATAGACAAAGGTATTACTTAGAATTTTAATGCAATTTCTTTGTACAAAAATCAAGTAATCATGGGGATTTGGGCAACCGATTCTGCATAAAACAAACAAACGAACAAAAAACCTGCATTGTCTGTTCATTTAGCTCGTAATGCTCTTCATGACACAAAAATGCACAGAGACAACCAATAGGGGAATGTAATTTCCTATTGGAAATTAAGTAAATCTAAGAAAGATAAAACATCTCAGTGTATTACCTGCAAAAAAAAAACCTGTTGTTATCTTTAAAGGATTCAGGGCTCTATTTTAACGATCAAAGCACAAAGTTTAAAGCTCATTTGCTGTTTACATGGCGGACGTTGTAAGTGGAAAAACTGCTTCACTAGTGGGAAAACAGTTAAACGGAGCATCTGCAGTGCGAGGATAAAGAATAAGCCTCCTCCATTTGGCCTCTTTACCTTGACTCTACTTTCGTAGATAAGGAAACGGTGGAAACTCCCTCGACTGAAAACATCCATTTTCCTACATATTTAATTTAGTTTGTTAAGCGCAAAGATCTGATTGAAAAACATTTCTAAATTCAGTTCTAATTTCCAGCATAGAATAAATTAACAATATTAACGAAGTGTGGTCAAAAAACGTATTATTTCTAAATACACGTCCTATTTTTGTGCCCCATATAGGGATGCAAAAGTGTTTAAAACCTGACAGATGGACAAATCTAAACTATAGTTTTTTATTAAAGCCAGACCCCCTAGTTTTTCACTATTTATTTTGCTATAAAAAATGATTTTGTATATCACCAGACAATTTTTCGCTTTAAAAAAAAAAAAAAAAAAAAAAAAAAAAAAATATATATATATATATATATATATATATATATATATATATATATACATACATATTATATATATATATATACATATTTTATATATATATATATATATATATATATATATATATATATATATATATATATATATAATATATTAATATATAACTCGCTCCGAGCTGGTATCGAATTGGTGACCTTCCGCATGGGAGTCGGTTGCTCTACCAAGGAGGCTAAAGACCATGGCCTCTAGCGTCTATCGCTAGAGCACCTTTAGAGGTCAGAGGAGTGAGGTTTACCTGCACAGCGCTTACTAGCTGGCCTATGTTACACTCACCCCCCTAAACCTCACTCCCATCTGGGTCACGGCACCAATGTAAATCCCGCCGTTCTTACGCCACCCAACCCGCTCCGAGCAGGGATCGAACCGGCGGCCTTCCGCATGGCAGTTGGGTGCTCTACCAAGGAGGCTAAAGACCATTACCTCTAGCACCTATCGCAAGAGCACCTTTAGAGGTCAGAGGAGTAAGGTTTACCTGCACAGCACTTACTAGCTGGCCTCCGTTACATTAGCATTGTGGAAGATCACCTACTGCACCTTCAAGTCTAATAGTTTAATAAAATATATCATACTTTTTGGTAATCACCAAGTGACCTCTCATTTCCTCACGACCCCCACTTTGGGAGTCAATGGTTTAGACAAATGTACAAGTTAGATGGAGATTTAGACATTATAGCAACTATTTAACAAAAATAGGCATAAAAACTATGCAGTTTTTTTTTTTTTTTTTTTTTTTTTTAGGGATAGGGTCATTTAAGATTTGTAAATGTTAAAATAGAGCTTGAGAACCGCTGTGCTAAAATATTTGGTTTTAGTGAGTATTGAGTGGGAGCCATTTTGATCTTAAATTAGTTTACGGAGCTGAGGCTACGCTGTGAGTCTACATTCAAGGCAGCTTCCCATGCATTTAGGAGCAATTACTGCTGACCTTTTGAGAAAAATCAGAAGGGACATCAACTCAAAGACACACAGAAGCAATAACAGACATCACAGGAGCTGCTAAACATATACCGCTAGTTCAAGAGGCATCTCTGTCAAATGACATTTTATTTCAATTGTGGTTTTATTGCATAAATAGTTTACGTTGAAATGGAAATTCGCTGGCAGCCAGCATTCCACGTATCCCGGCTATCATTTAGCATCAGATCAGAAATGCTGCATCTATTTAAGCTTGATTATCTGCTCGTGGTGGATGGAAATGGGCCTGTCTTTGTTTACAAGCTCTTTTGAAGTGATCTCATTGTGAAACATTTCTTTCATGGCCCGGGCTTGTGTGGACCAAGCCTTTGCATTAACACGCTCTCATGGTCACACGGCAGCTGTGCTCAGCACAAACAGAATGAGGCTTTTTTGTTGTCGTTGTTGATTTTTTTTTTTTTTTTTTACATTTTATTCTGAACCCTGAATTTGAATAGCCACTCCAGCCTTTTTAATATGTAGTTTATTTCCAGTTTATATTCAGCCGCCGACGCTTCATCTATGCTTAATCTTTCTCCATGCTGTTTTTATTCATAGGTTCTTCATTTGTTTGTGCATATTATTGATTGCAGAGTGATTTTATACATGGAGAAGATATTAATTTATGCATTTCAAAATGTCATGTCTCCCAAAAACATCCTTAAAAAGGTGGTCCACCATGATATCAGATTTTAAACTCTAGCTGATGTGTAATGCAGCTGTGTGAACATAAATAACATCTCTGAATAATATTCTCAAAGTTCAATGGAAAAGGAGACATTGCCTTTTACAGCATTAGCTTAGCAAAGCCTACAGTGAACAAAGTTTGAGGACTGCAAGAAGTGCATCTGGGTTAATGATGTCATAAACCCTTGAGGTTTTATACATACACTCGTGCAGCATAGGTGGATGGAAACATAGTTATACAGTGGTCCCTCGCTTATAACGTGGTTCACCTTTCGCGGCCTCACAGTTTTGCAGATTTTTTTAGTGCAATTTGACAATCTTATTTTTATTTTGACACAGTGCATTGTGATTAGCGCATTGTCTTCTGCGTCCTAATTGCCTGTAGTCCATTATCAATCAATCTCCTTCCTGTTTCCAGTACAGTATATGCAAGGATGTAAGGGTGCTTTCACACCTGCCTTATTAAGTTCGATTGAATCGCACTAGAGTTCGTTTTC